GCAGCCTGTCAGGTTAGGAGGAAAGTGTACTGATTGGTAAGGGGCTGAACGCCTCAGCCCCCCCACCCCCACCCCATCCCTCATGCCTATAGCCCTGTGCTCTCCCTGTGCTCTCTTGATTCTTCTTACCTTGATGAAGGGATAGCCATTCTCACAGGCTGTTCAAAAGAAGGGGTGCTCCCCTCAGCTGTGCAGGGCCCTAAGTAGCCTGAGTGACCCAAAGGGCCCGGAAGGCTCCCAGAAACACTGTGGGAATGGCCTGGCTGCACCACGTCCAGTTCATTATCGCAAAGGCACAGGGCACGTTGATTCCGCAGATACAAGGGCAGGGTCACCCATGGGCCACCCAGAACCCCTCCACCCAGCCACGGGCCTTCCAGCGCAGAGCAAGGCTCTCAGGAAGAGAGCCGGGTGCTGGCTTGCCAAGGTGACCAAGCTCCATCTGCTGTTTCAGTCACTGCTCTTCTACCCAGCTTACTGCAGGTGGGAGGCTGTACCTGTCATACCACACCTCCACACCAGAGACACCTGGTCTGCTCTTGCAGAACCTGTTCTCATGTAACCGAATCCACTTGATCTCCATGAAGAAGGACAGCAGTTAATTTGTCTACTCTCTTTGGGGCTGCGAAGCGCCCTTTGCTGCGAGACAGCAGAAGAGGGTGAGTGCCACCAGCCACGCCAGGTGCCACCAGCCACGCTCACCTGTCCTCTTGCCTTGCAGGAAAGCTGTCGCTGGAGGAGTTCATCCGAGGGGCGAAGAGTGACCCGTCCATAGTGCGCCTCCTGCAGTGTGACCCCAGCAGCGCTGGCCAGTTCTGAGCCCGGCACCCCACGAATTGTAGAGCTGCTTGTTTTCTCTTTCAGTTTTTCTTTTTAACAAAAAAAAAAAAAGTTTTTGTGGCCAAACAATATCGACGGTGATGATGTCCCCCGTGCGGTCAGATGCACCTTCCCTGTGACGCCTTCGCTGCTTTTGTCGTGGACACTTCGTGGGAATGCTGTTGCCCAGCGCTGTGGACAGTGCTATTGCGCACACTCTGTGGTTTCCATAGTGCTGATGATTTTTAATTGTTGTCATTTTTCTTTTGATTCTGATGTCTCTGTTCTAAAACCGAAGACTCGGGGAAGCAAGAGAAGGGAAGCCAATCCAGTGATTCTGTAGCAAGCTTCCAGGGTTTGTTTGAACAACTAAACCCCTGCCTGCCTTTGGTGTCACTCCCACGCTGGATGGCACCAGATGCTGGACTCCCTGAGAACATGTGACTCTCTGGGGCCAGGCTATTCAAGGGTCCTGGGGTGTTCCCCAGGGTGGCCCACCCATGCTCTCCCCAGCACATCGTAGTTTCTAAGCTGTGAACATTTCAAAGTAAATTCATAGAGGAGAGGAGAAGATGGCTCAGCTATTTTTCACAGGTTTACACTAGTTGAGCAAATGTAAGTTGCTTTGGAAATTGAACACAAATCATAACTTAAAATCCAATCCATCTTGTTGCCTATTGTGATTTAAAAAAAAAAAAAAAAGACTGCTGTATATAAAATATTTGGGTGTTGCAGACCAAATTAAGTGTTTTGCCTTGTTTAAATGAAATGCATGTTTAGTGAGCACTAATACAATCTTATTACAGAAGACTGTTTTTAGTAGCTTATTGTGAAGTAAGCCAACTCTAATGAATGTCTGTGTCTTGTTTGAAAGTCGTATCTGTCTTTGCACAAATGCACCAATCAACAGGTATATTTTATATATTCTAGAAAAGTACAAAGCAAACTTGACAAGAACCCAACCTTCATTTTGAGTGTTTTTCTCGAGTGGCAGTGCATGGAGAATAGAAGCAGCGCAGGTTGAAATGGGGTACATCAGCTGAAGCCCCAGAAAGTTGACATTTATGAGATACATGAACTGACATCCAGCCAGCCTAGCAACTCATCAGCAGTGTTAGACAGTGTGGTGCTTTTCTGAGTGGATCAATATTCCATAATCCCCTCCCCCCTAGAAAGCATGAATTCTTGGAACTTCCCAGTGGTTTCATCGTGTGTATGGTTAGGAAGCTATAACTGGCATGTTGAGTTTTCGATGTCTTCAGTGGCCCTTCAAAGAATTAGAGGTTGGACAATCATGTGATTCGTCATGAGGGGTCATAGGCCAGTGTGTCTGTGGCTCCCAGCCCCACCATGTGGAATCCCAGAGTATTTTCCATCAGCATGTTCTGTGAATTATAGATTTCTGTTTCCAGAAATGACAGCACCAATTCGAGTTGCTGTTTGACCTGATGACCTCACGTGCATGAATTTGAATTGAAAGAGTAAAAATTGCGGGCCACAGGTAAGTCATAGTTTCACAAGCATTCTGTATGGTGAAGAGCAGATGCTTGGGGTGTAGAGGAGAGAACCTGTTCTTGGGGAAGGCAGAGAGGGACCGCTGGGTGTCTTACTGCCAGGTTACTTGCTGTAAAACTTAAACCACAGAAAGATAAACATCATAACCTCAAGGAAAACGATGCTGAAGGCTTCTAACTTCCAGATTCCTTCTCTATCCCTTGACTCCTTTTCACTGGCAGTATATATATGTACAGTTCACCAAAAAGACAAGGTTTGGAAGGTGAAGTTTTGAGGCCCTGACCTGGCAAAATAATCTTAATCTTCCTTTGAATGCCCATTCCTTAGAGTGGCTTTATACCAAGACTTTCCAAATTTCTCCATGGGCCAATTGGTCAAATATATCTTAAAAGTAGGGAATTAACTTATGACTTAAGAGTGCAGAACAGGTGAGGTGACCCAGAGTGCCTTTCCTTCCCTGTCCCCCACCCTGCTCTTGATCAAAGACCTAATAGTTCCTTAGTCCTCTTTAGGTGGTGAAGTCAGTTTACCTGGGTCCTTCCCTCGTTCTCCCGTGATAGGTTCCTGAGCAGACTCACCCACTCCCCAGGGCTTAGAGCTGGAGTGAGTAACTGGGGAGGAAGGTCTCAGCCTTTTAGGAAAGGAAGCAGAGCCAGAAGCATGACTAATGAAGCTGACACTCCTGGAATACATGCAAACTGGCATCCTCCTGGCCTGCCCTTGACCCTGTCTGTATTTTCTTGAGGTTTGTTTTCCTCCTATCCCTCCTCCCCAGGAAGGGCTTTGTCTGTCTACTCCCAAGCACTCAAGTTTGGTCGACCCAGAGGGCTGAATGCTTAAAGGTTTACATCACTCCTTGCTGGGCTGTTCATTGTCACTGCTGTGTGGTGGGACCTCTGGAAATGGACTCTGTTCTGTGTGAAATCAAGCCAGCCTGTGATGTTCAAGGGACTGGAATAAAGTGGCTTATGACTTGAAGAAAGACACAGAGTGGCCAGCTGTTCATACCCTTTTTTAGGGTGGGGGAAGAGTGCTAAGGGTGCCTATCCCTTCCTGTCAGTATGCCCCAGGGGGCACTTCCCACAGTGAATTCAATCATCTACAGACTTAACGTCCCATCACCCGGAGTGGTTTTAGATCTGTGTCATGTCATCTTTTCCAAACCTTCAGACTGAAAAGTGGGGGTGGGGTGGGGGCTGGGGGGGGGTGTGTTATTAATTTCCCACTGAAGTGAAGACTGACTCAGTTTCTCTTTCCATTGCATCTAATATTTGGAGTAGGGTTTGTAGCTCCAGTTGTAGAGAGAAGAGGAAATGAAAAGTGAAAATCACAGAGGACAGAAAGTAGGAGTGGGGCTATCCAGCAATTTCCATCAAATGCCACAGCCCAAGGCTCCTGTTTTCAAAGCATTGTCCTAGTGCCTGATCCAGCTGACCGGTCCCTGCCTTGTTCAGGCAGAGGGTATCCACTATTTGAGGAGGAGCCTGAGGAACCTCTCAGTCAAGTAGGGGAGGAGATCACGGGAACAGTCTTTGGGGGAAATGAAAATGCTCATATACCTTTCTCTTGCCTCTGTCAGAGGATGCTCAACTTGCTCCTGAAATTTTGTTTTTGAAGGTGGCTGAAGAAACGAGAAAAACTTGGAACACTGTGTTTTCCAAGGCAGGAGAGTATCAGTCAAATCATCTAAAGTAGAAAGATTGCTGTTTAGTGAAAAGAAGTTTCTGGTATATTCCCTTCAAGCAGGTTTCTCAACACTTGAAATCTGATCACACATCGGGGCTTAGCTAGGTCCTGGACACTTGCTGCCCTGGGGGTTAATATGCAATCACATGCCCAGGCATCCCTGGCAGTGCAAATAATGGGCACTTTTTATTTATTTGCACATACCATGGAGGAGCTGAGCCACCAGGTGAGTGATATAGCATAGAAGGGAGAGACACTGGAGAAGGGCACGGTTTCTTCCTGGCTTTGAACTTGTACCAGGAACTTGGGGGACTGGAGAAGAGACATGTAGGAGAGACTGGTGCAAGATGTAGGGATGCTGATGATGGCAGCCATTACCTTGATTTATACTTTGGTTTTGCTCTTTTTATCCCAGACTTACCTGGCTCCTTCTGCCCCTTCCCTATGACTCTCTTTCCTATGCTCTAGCCTTAAGGCAAGCTTTTGAGCTGCAGGGGACCCACATCAGGCCAGTCATGCTTGTCTGGGCATCTGCCCATGAGATGGATAGATGAGTACTGTTGGGTGTCTTGGGGAAAGTTACTCTTTTTTTCTTTTTGATACACATGAATTCTACTGAAGTTCTTTTGCAGCAAGTATGCTTTGTCTTTGTGTGTACAGATGGCCAGATCTTTTTAGAGCACGTAAGTTTGGGGGTCCCTAGTCACCCCTAGGCAACATACCAATGTAACCGCCTCTCCCATAGTAATTAGAGTGAATTAGCCCAGATGCTGGAAGGCAGGAGCTGTACTGGACCCCACGGTCCTGAGAGTTGGTCACCCTGGCCTTCCCAACCGAGTCCCAGTCCGGGGAGTGGGGGAGCTCACGGCATATGCGGTGAGCAAAATCCTCCAAAAAGCAGGACCTTGGTTGCAAACCCTGGGCCAAGAAGTGACTGCTTCTGGTGAGATGCAGAGACCAGCTGCATGCCCCAAAGGGCCTCCCGCTGGGGCTGTGGAGCGGAGGTCACAGGATACTCTTTGGCCCAGTTCTAATCCCAGATCGCTCCAGAAACCCCCGCAATCAGCATCTCTCCCAGCCTCCTCTTCCCTGCCCACTCATCCAGGCATAGTGGCTACGAGGATGCTGCCTGGGGCTGAAGATAGAGAAAGCTTGTTCAAGGCAAACTTTTAGCCAAGTTTGTGGGTGTGGCTAGACAGAGAAGGTGGGATGTGGGGAAATGCTGAGATGCTACTTGCTTGGAACAGAGACTCTTGGGGGATAATTATGGATGGTGATTGAAGAAGTATGGTTCGGTGGGTGCATGGTCACTGAGGAAGAAACAAAAAAATATGGAAAGAGTAAATCAAGGTGTTTGCATTTGCGTTGCTGGATGCTGGCAGGACTGTGGGTTCCGGGCAAGAGATGGACTGGAATTTCAGTCCATGGAGTTTAAGCCTTTGTGTAGAGGTTGGCACAGAAAACCAAGCAGAACAGAGAAAGCTGTCGCAGTAATTCCAGCAGACGGAGAGCGTGCGTGAGGAAGATAAAGGTGAGCAGAAAGCGCACCGTCTGTCCTGATCACCTGGTCAGGACCAGCCTCCTGATCCCTGTCATCCATCCTGACTTCCCCAGTCCCCTTCTCATTTAGTTTGGTGGGGACACAAGTCAACCAGGAGGAAACCCCCTGTGTGGAAGCCCAGACCCAAGGCACCCAGGCACGCCTAGAATCTTGCCTGTTCCCACAGAGGCTTCCGTCCAATCACACAATAAACACAGCGTACTTGTCCTCCCACCCCCACCTCAGGAGGCCCAGACACTTGTTTACTCTCATGTTATGAATATTTATTTTTTCTTCTTAAAAATGTACAAAAAATAAAATAACTGTATTTATAGTTTATAGACTCCCCCTCTCCCATTTACAAAACTATTAACTTACATTTGCCTTTTGTTTTCCTTTAACTTGAGAGCAAGTTGTCCATCTACCAACCTCCCTGGCTTGTCTCTAAGGAAGGACCGTTCATAGGCTTTGGCATAAACCCTCTGTGTCTGTGGCATTGTCTTGATTTTAAATAAGGGAAATAAATGTTTGATTCATTTCATGCTTCCTAACGTTTCTGGGCTGGGACATGCCTCAGTCTTTAGGGTCTAGAGCCAAGATGACATCTGGCTGCATGTTTTCTTGTTGGTCCTAATTTGCCAATGCCCAGAGCCTCAGCAGTGTGGGTATGTGTAAGAAAACACTTGTTTCCATGTTCCTCATCTTGCGTGGATATTTTTTTAAGTTTCTTTATTTGAGTGTATTTAATTTAAGGGCCAAAAAGAAAAAGAAGAGGAGGAGGCGAATTTTTCTTTCTGAAGGGTTTTGCTAGAGAAATTTTGCATCAAAGCTCTGCTAACATACATGGTGAGGGACACGCCAAGCTAAACCATGGAGCGGATGGGATGGGACACGCTGTACCACCCTTTGGTGGCACTGGCCTTATATTCTTTGTTCTGGCAGTGACCATGTACTGATAGCTCAGGGACCCGGGAGAAATGCAGAACATCTGTCATACAGCCTCTGCCTAGGGCAGATCAGCAAACATTTTTCCGAAGAGGCTGGAGAGAGAAGGGCAGCTGACCTGTGTCAGGCTAACAAAATCTTTCTCAAATTCTCCCCTCTCTGGAGTCCTGCTCCAGCTTACTAGTTTTTGCCATGAGGTTTGATGTCACCCTATGGCAAGGAGTGTGGGAAGTGCATAGTACATCACCTATTTCCAACACTGAATGTGTCCATCTCAGAACAGAGCCTGGTTAGTCCTCAGGAGGGCTCCAAGCTGTCCAGGAGGAGAAGGGGACAGGCTGAGCAGAGCTGAGTCCAGGGTGCCAATCTCTGGCACCGCCGGGAGTTGTCAAGGTGCCCTGACCACTACCCACAGATCTTCGTAGGCACAGACTCCGTTCAGTTCCTCTGCAGCCTCAATGGGGGTCAGCTGGACTGGAAGCAGTTCCTCCATCCTGCTCTGGGTCCGCTCTGGGTCCACTCTGGGTCTCGCTCTGGGTCTTGGGGGCAGATGGGCAGGAGGGTGGGGAGCCGGTGTAGAGTGAGCGCTCCCAGGTCAGACATCAAAGTGCTTTACAAACAAAGCTGGGCCTTTACTCCAAACCTACCCTGGCTTCCTGGGTCGGGGTGATGTCCGGCAACCCAAAACACTTGCCCCTCCGAGGGACAGCAGCCACGGCAGTTGACGATTTCTGTTTAGAGAAGCGCGCCTTCTCCCCTTGTCTCCCAGGGCATGTGGCAGGTGCATCAGGTGGACCAGGCGGCCCCAGCCTCCTCCCTCCCAGTCTTGCTCTGGAGCTGGTTTCAAAAGATCTAGGTCGAACGGGATCTTCTTATTCCTTCCACATCCAGAAGAGGCAGCTCATTCTTCCCTCTCTGCTGAGGCAGCAGCTGGGCTGCAGACTCAGAGCTGAACTGTAGGCACCACTCTCGGACCTGCAGCTGGACCTTGGGAGGGGGACGTTTGAGATGAAGGGGTGCTTGTAAAAGGGCACCGCTGTGCAGTCACCGGGGCCTCCCAGTAGCCGAATTCTGCAGAAGACCAAGTCAGAGGGCCAGGGGCCAGGCCCCACAGTCCTGAGGGCTCGGGCAGTGCCGACACCAGAGTCTGAGGAGCTAGAGCCTCAGACGCTGTGACCTCGACCATGAGACAGCTCAAAGAGAGTCGAGCAAAGCCACCATCATGAGATACAGCAGTGGCCTTGTGGGTGGGGTCTCCCCAGGGGATGGGAACGGGACTCCCTCTGAGGAGGAGGAACGAGCCCCAAGGCTTGCCCACTGCAGAGTCTGTCCTGGCACCCTCTGTGGTCATGAGCCCCCAAGGCCACAGCAGAGGTGGGGAGCTCTTACAGAAAGCGGCGTCTCAGGTATGCGCCTCCCTTAGGTTAGCGGCAGTAAACATGCCCACATACCACAGGTAAAATATATTATTGCAATATTATAGACACTATGTACATGAGAACCAGGCATACTTGCTGTGTGGCTTGCTAATTACAAGACAGCTGACTGTCTTCCTGAACAAGGCCTGGTGGTCACTCACTGGGAACCCCTGAAGGTATTTAGCAAGCCCTTTCCCAGGTGACCTGAAGGTTTTTGACCAGTCAGGGGGCGTCCACCTCTTACCCACCCTCTCACTACCGCACCAAGAGGTCCCTCATTTCTCCAAGCACTCAAAAGTTGGGAGAAGGGACGAGATGAATGAATTGGCTGTGTTTCCTTGAAGTGGAGGCTCTGGATGGTCTCAGCGGGAGCCAAGAGTGACCTGCAGAGTCCTGGTGGGGCCACCAGGTGGACAATAAATAAGGGTCTGGCAGGCCCAAGTCACCGACCCTGGGGGTGGGGCTGAGCGTGCTGACACAGACTGGAGCTCTGGGCCTTGTCCCCGTCAGCACAGTCATGTAACAGCAGTGTGAGACGGGTGAGGTGGGGCTTCGGGACGGGGGCCGGGGCCTCGTCTCTCCTGGGGAGGGAGGCACTGAGGGCTCCTGCCAAGGGGGAGCCAGGCCAGGGCTCAGATCTCCATGAGCGTGATCTTGAAGCCTTCCACCATGCTCTCCATGTTGAGGATAAAGGTGTCCTCATTCGAGTAGTGCTCAATGATGTTGTCATCCATGTTCACCAAGATGCTGCCAGGGTTGGGGAAGAGGTGGAGGAGAAACAAAGAGCTGTGAACAACACACTCTGAAAAGGCAAGTGAGGTTTGGTGCGGGTAGAGCAAGGAGCAGACAGGGAGGGAAAAAACACCTTCTTCATATTTTCTTTCCCCTAAAACCAGTTTGAGAAGAGCAGAGACTCACTCTCCTAGAACCAACCTGGTGACTTCAGAGATCATTTAAGTCAGTTCTCTTGCTTTATAGGTTGGTAAAATGATAACCAGACAATTGAAATCTGTGTCAGAAATCACAGTTAGACACTGACAGGGATGGGGTCCAAACTGTCAAGTCTGAACTATTTTCATTAAGCCATGCCTCTTGAAAATACATTTTTAAAAAGTACTCTGTCTTTAGGAGAAGATAAACAAGACGGGCATCTGCCCTTGGTTGAATATAGAATATGGCCAATGTTTCTGAGACCTCAGATTTAATCCTCACAACAACCTGGCAGGCAGGTGTGACCACCGCTAATTTGTAATTGAGAAAACTGAGCCCAGTGAGGTCAGGTCATTCCCCCAAGTTCACCCAGCAAGTTCACAGCTGAAATTAATTTTGCCTCACTCTGAAGCTCACACTTTACCCTCTATGACCTACTCCTTGGTTCACTATAAATGTAATTTGGAGAAAACCAACAACTTCCGGGGTCTGTCCATAATTTAGATGGACTGGAGCTAGACAGTTCTTTGAACTCTGACAAATCTTAGTTTGAGGATGAAGTCCCAATTCTACGATTCTATAAACCATCAGGCAAGTGGTTTAGACTTTAGAAGCCTCAACTCCTAAGGCTTCTGCAAAAACAAAATAACAACCCAGTTTCAGGGAATCACAATGAGAATGAAACATGGGCAGGCCTGACACACAGCGCTCAATGAAAGTGAAACGTTACTACCAGCGGCATGTACATCTGCACTGAGATTTCTGCTTAACAATAAAACGGAACTTCACTCACATCTCACTGTCAAAGGGATGCAGGCAGCCTACTGCACTGACCTTGGAGAAAGTGTAGTAGGCATTTTGTGAGCTTTTCGAGGGGAAAAAATTTCCAATTTGATTCCCATCAACCCAGAGGCCTGTCACTCAGCAGCCCAGCTGTTCAAGGCCCTTTATGAAACAGGTCGAAAGTAGAGCTCACAGACGCTTTTGTCATTGTTCTTTTTTTTTTTTTTTTTCTTTTGTAGAAAATAGCTCCTGAAGCTGATCCAGTGAAGATTCTCTCCTACTGCTTCTACTCTTAGAACCTCATCACAGGCAGCCTCAGGAGGGGATGGAGGAGGCAGACAGCAGAATATGAGACCAAGCTCTTGAACTTCAAGGCCTGGATTCAAATATCCTGTCTACTAAACATGAGACCTTAGGCAAGATGCTTGACTTTTATCTACTCAGTTTTATCATCTGTAAATTAAGGATAGAATCTACCTCATAAAGTAGCGAGGAATAGAGAAGTGCATATAAAGCATGTATCAGGCGCCCAGCACCAACTGATACCCAGTAAGTGAGAACTACTGTTCTGCACAAATAGAACAAGCAGGGCCAACGACCTTCAGATGACCTTGTGAATCATGACCTCTGAAGAATCCCCTTTGCCCTAAATTCCTTCTGTTCTGTAACAGCGATTCCAAGAGCAGCCTGTGATTCCCATTACATCTACTTTTTGCCTGTGATTCCCATTACATCTACTTTTTGCAGAGGGGGACTCTGTCACGCTCCCAGAGTCCTCACTACCTCCGGGAACCTCCACTTCACCTGCGACCCTGTCACTGAAATAGGATGTCTCAGGCAAATCACTGCCAGGCATGAGCATGGTCCTCCTTGCTCAGTAAAGATGGTGCCCTAGACGGCAGCTGCTCAGCCATCCTTTGAAAGATGACACGTGATTTTTATGAAAAGTGGACACCAGCAAACAAAAAACAGTATTTTTTTAAGGCACTGTGTAGACTTAATTTGATTTTGAAGTCAATTTAAATTCCAGTTTGTCCTCACCCTTTTTTGCTTTTCTTGTAAAGCTTTGCTATCTTCTCCACAGGCAACCCGTATTTCTCAGATATCTGTAACACCAAAAAGAAAAAGGCAGATGAGCATGGAAGGAAAGCCAGGCACAGAGGCAAGAGAGACTTCGCTCCATTAGAGATGGTCCCGGCGCCTTACAAGTTGAACTCTCAGGGGGCATCGTGTGTGAGGCTCTCTCTTGGACAAGCCTTAAGTCATTCAACAAAAAATTCAGCAACACTGGAATGTGGCTAATGATGAAATTATTCTTTAGATCGGTTGGAGAAAGATGGACCCTACTATGATGATGAATTAACTAGGTTATATGAAATAAAGAAAAATGTAACAAGTTAAGCTGGACCCTTCTCTACTTCTTACATCAAACTCAACTTCAGATAGACCAGATTTGTATGTGAAAGATAAAACCATATCTGTAGAAGGAAAACCAGAGTCATCTCTTTGTACAGCTATCATTTTCAAGTGGAGATATTTCCAAACAAGAGATGAAACCTGAAGAAAAAAAAGGTTAAAGGTTGATAAAAATAACAGACTTAAAAACACCATAAAAGCAGAAGATAAATACATTTTTTGCATAAATGGCAGAACTCTAACTTCCTTAAGTTAGAACCACTTCTGCAGATTAAAAAAGGGCTAACGTTCAGTGGGAAATGGAACAAAAACAGTGAAAAATAATTTAAAGAAAAGTTAAAACCCTGGTGGCAGATAGGTTAAGTCTTAGCGCTATCATGGAGATGACTAAAGTTTTTTCTTTCTTTCTTTCTTTCTTTAAAGATTTATTTATTTGTGCATACAGAACTGGGGTACAGGCCAGAGGTGCAGGGGCTGTGAGAGGCTTCACCAGAGACAGAGTGGGGAGGAGAACAGGCGGATAGGCAAAGTACACTGCTGAGGGGCGCAGCGGGAATGTCAGAAGTCTGCTGCGCCATGTGGATCACCTCTGGGACTGGGGAGGCTAGGGACTGAAATGGCACTGAGGCAGCTCCAGCTAGCTTGCAGTGCTGTGTCCTAACCTGCTGCGCCACCAGCGAGGGCCAATGGCCTGAGTTATCCCCAGTCAGGGAACTGACCCATATGGCACAACAGACCTCTCCTGGTCCGCCCACTGTCCTCCTCAGCAGTGTATTTCAGTAGATCTGCTTTTTCTGCTCCCCACTCTGTCTCTGATGAATGTTCTCAAGCCTCCACACTCCCAGACACCCCAGTTCTTCTTTACTAAAAATAAATACATTTTAATATTTTCACAGCTGAAAACCACAGCCATTAAAAGTAACGCAGGAAATACAGGAAGTCCTTAACATACTAAGGGGAGCAATTTGCAAAACAGCATATTGAGTGTTTTTTGTTTCCTTGAAATGTTTGTGTAAATTAAAAAATTTGAAAGACTCACCAACCTATTAAGTGGCTAACTCTGGAAGAATGAACAGAAATATGATTCTTAGACTCTGTATAATTTTGTGCTGCTTGTTTCATTTTTGAAATGACCATGACTGACATTTTTTATAAAGTCATAATGGTTTAGAAATAGATTCTGGAGAGAACTACCCTATATGCCATTTATGCCTTGTTCCTCCCAAACCCAATCTGCCTGCCCCTACTGAGGTAGGTGAGGTGTGGGCTGAGCTACAAGTTAGTGCTGCAGGGCTGGAAAAAGAGGCTGAAAACACTAGAGTCGAAGTTGGGAGCTCTGGGTGCTGGAAAGGATTCTCACTCCACAGAGAATCCTAGATTTCCACCTGCCTCTTCCTCTGACATTACAGAATATGACCCCTGCTCCACTAATAAGTCCCAAAGAAGCACAACTGTGGACTGAGGATTGAAAGCCCCATGGGAGATGAAAAACAAGCCCCCGCCAATGCCCCCTGAACGTGATGTTTTCCATCCTGCGTTCACGTCAGCTCAGCTGTGACTGTGACGGAGCACTGAGTAACCCCACAGCTGCGCCTGAGCCAGAAGGAGCCCAGGATGCAAACTAACACATCCAAAGGATAGATCTCTGTGGGAAATGAAGAAAATGGACAGACTTTGTGTTGGAGGCATTCATTTGAACAGAAAATTAAAGAACACATCTGAAGTTTGCTCTCAGGTACACAAAGTTCTGATCTAAAACTATGATTACTGACTACTTTTTTTAAGTTCAGTAAATGAATTGAGGGTACATGGTCAATTCAATTAGCCAACAGCATTAAGAAAGATCAAGTAGAAAAGCAATTTCAAAATGCAAAGGAAAGGCACAGGACATAGATGGAAAAGAGATTTACCAAGTAAATAAAAAAAGAAAAAGAGGGAAGTGGTAAGATTACTGTTAACAAGGTAAAGAGGTTAGGGTTAATGAAATAAGAGTGGACATTCTTTGAGTAAAAAGCACAATGTGTGAAAAGGTGTAGCTATGACAAGCCTTATGCACCCAATAGCATAGCACCTCAGCAAAAAGTATTACAGGTGTAGGAACAGATCAAAAAAATAACACGTATAGTGGAAAACTTCAATATGTCTCTTCTAGAACTGGACAAACCTAACAGACAAATAAGGAAGAACAGTTGAACGATGTAATCAATAAATTGAACTTTCTCTCTCTCTCTCTCACACACACACACACACACACACATACACACACACTCCATTATATCTCCTAAAAAGGATCTATTGAATATTGAGACCACAAAGATAAACCAAATTAAACCTTAATAAAATAAAATTGGAAATATACAACTTAAAGATGTCAGGCATGCTTACTTATCTGAACACACTCCACGGAAGCCTAGCTCTATAGGAGCGTGTAATGCCTTCCTCAGATGCTCAGGTTCCTCGAGCAAATATCTAGAGGATGCTAGGCTACGTCGACTAAGTCAATTCTATTATGAGCACGTTTCTCTGAGTATGTTGGTGGCACTTCTTAATCTAGTGACATACTCTGAACCATGAAGCACAGCTTCCGTCACTCCTCCCCAAACTTGACATCATTTCATTCTGGGGGAATTTCTACCTCCTTCCTCTCTTCTTCCCAAGCCCAGCTCCCACACTGCTAGCAGGTGTCTGGGTGTCCAACCTGCACTTGTAAATCAAAGGGACGCCAGCAGGGGCGCTGCAGTGAAAGGGCTCTGAAAGAAGGCTTGCTGAGCAAGTCAAGGAAGGAGCGCCCAGCAGTGGCCATTTCTGAGGGCCAAGTACCAGCTCCCTAGGTTCCCTAGAATCCCTAGAACCACCCAGAATCCCTAGGACCATTCTGTTAACAGAACTGGTGCACAGGGAAAATGCTTAAGGAGCACCTCACTGCAGCCTCCTTTCTGGAGTTGCTTCTCCTCAGGCTGACAGTGTAAGTCACGGCTCCTTGGCCAAGCAATTCTAGAGGTGCCCAGAGAGTAGTGCTCAGGCAGGGAAACATGCATCTTTATTTCCACTAACCCCAAACTTGAATTCAGCATTTCCTTCTATACAGCAAGCAATACCAGAATTTTGGTTACCAACAGAAATCACATATACTTTCTTGTCATGTTAGAATAAATGCAGATCATCAGAAAATGTCGATTATATTCATCCATTACACTTGAAAATGACTGTTGCTATTAATCCCACCCAGACACCATGACATTTCCTACAGCCCAAACAAGCTTTTACTCTGCTGATGACTACACATCGATAAAATGGATTTCCTTTGTAATCCTATGTATTTTACTGAATACATTTAAAAATATTATGCTGACAAGATGCATAGATTTCACCAGACTGTCACAGGAATGCATGTCACAAAGAACAAAATTGCCCTGGTAAACATTCTGTGTCCTAATCCCCACTGTCTGCTTAGACTCTGAGGATCCAGGTTACTTACACCTATGTATTATTATGACTCACCTGGCCTGCAAGAGCTGGGTTTTTGAATCTTAGTTCATGCCAGCTGGAACTTGTTTTAAAGTAAAATGAAAAATAAAATAAAGTAGGATCCTTTTGCTACTCAACATGAACAAATTCATCATCTTTAGTTCTCGTTATTTGAAAGTGAATCAAATTCTTGAATCTTCCCTTCTCGGGGTTTTGATGTATAGCTGCCCAGAGCATGAAAACAAATATCTCCACTCAAAATCAGTTGAGAACAGTCAGGACGAGAGAAAAGGCATAAAACTTGCACAATTACAGTTTCAAGCTGGGTTTGCTGGGCAGCAGCGGCCAGGGCTGGTCTTCACGGGCACTTACGAAGCTCCGGAGCATGAAAGCGTGGAGCTGTGATCTGCTGCTCTGTAGAATCCTCCAGTCATTACTGTGAAATTCAACCTTTCATGCACCCTGTTTCTTAGGTGAGGAAGCTAAGACTTTCAGTCATTAAGTAACTGCCAGTTAGTGGCGGGCACAGGATTTGAAAGGTAACGATCAGGCAGTCTGGCTTCAGGTACTGAGCACTTAGGAAAAAAAATGGACGAATGTTGAGATTTGTTTGAGGGGAAACTCAGGGGCCCCACCCAAGACCAGAAGCAGCTGGCAGAGCTGACTCGTGTGTGTACCAAGCCACCTAGGCAACAGCTCCAGGAAACAGACTCCTGCCTCAGCTTAGTCACCAAAGTCATGGAGGCAGCAGGCCTCCATGTGGGGTGGGCTTGCCACACTCAGAGCCCTGGAGAGAAGCGCCACTCACAGGATCTTATGCGGAGGAAGCTGTCCATCTGTTGGGTGGGGGGTGGGGTACATAAGCATCCCTTCTCCTGGATGTTACCCATACATCTCTCCCTTCCATGCCTGGCCAGCGCAGGCTAAGCGACAGTGCCCTCAGAATATGGGGTTTGGGGAGGCGAGGAGTGCTTGTTTGCCTGCTGCTTTTCAGGTTATCTGAACTGAGCGCAAGTTTTATAATTTTTTTAATCCCATCATTAAGATGTTAAAGACTTCAAAGACTTCCTTTACACCCAGAAGGATCTTCCGTCTTAAGACATCTCTCATTATTTTGTTATTGGTTGTCTGTGGACCTGTTACTAAACTTCATGGAGAATTCTCTGTGTCTAGAAACGCCAGGTATGAGGCAGGCAGATACTGAGTTTTTCATTGGTTTTCA